GTTTTTCAGAATACAATCGAGTCGTTAGTGCACAGTAAGAGAGATTTTTCGTGGTGGTTTCCAAGGGAGAGTTCAAACACTTAAATCCATGAAAAAACTCGTTAGCAAGAAAAATTTGTTTTTAACAGAACGACGCTAAAATTGCCGCCATCTTGATCTTCTYGAATTCATTGTTACTGCATGACAGATCGTTTTGTACATTGTTGAACACTGATTTTGAGAACAAATTCCCSATTTAGAAGGACTCTGGCCCAGAGCGTTCGACTTTATGAAACGGTTGCAATTTTAATGCACTCGAAGCCAGCGTTTGGTTATTTGTTTTGTTTGTGTATGCCGCATTCAGTTTGTGTATAACATTTAGCGACTTTTAAAAAGTGTAGAATATGATACAACTTTTAACCAGTTTAAATATTAAAGCTTGTTTATCGTGACGTATTTTGTTTTGTATGCATTCTGCCTAAAGTTTTTTTAGCGACTTTTATGAAAACTCTAGGTGTAMATCGAGGCTAAATTTCGCAAGTTGTGACGGACTGACTTACGCGACGAAAATCGTGTTACTTACCCGGATAATTYGATTTTTTTGCGCGAGCTACGAAAGGAAGATTTGATAATCGTGTATGATAATCTATGTTTGTTYATAAATTTCCTAAAGGACGTATCGTGTGAACTTTTCGTTCTCCTTTACAAACACACGTTTTGGCAGCCACGCGTTCAATATCATGAGAACAATGGGTGTTTTGAAAACAAATTTATTTATCAAAATAATTCATTGCAATTTTTGTACTTCTATTTTAAGAAATGCAAAAATTTTTCCGCAACACATGAAGGCTTAAGGTTCAATAATAAAAAGTCGAAATAAACCCCGAGTCAAATAAACTTCCAGCCACTTGTCGACCTACCCGCCCGTTCTTTCAATCAATGATTGTTAAAGGAGCACTTGAAGACAAAGAGCTAGGCTATTTTTGGATATATTCGTATTTTTGTATATCCGCTCGCCGGAATCCTCGAGACCAGTTGTTGATTCGACGATGCCTCGCCCCGGCGATCTATTGTTCCTATAGCTCAATAAAAGTAAGATTGTCTAAACATTCGAGTGATTTGATTTCAACAATCCGTGAAGTGGGAGAGCTAAGTTTTGTTTCAAGGATTTGAGTAAGAAAATCCGCAAATGAAATAATGTATAAGATTCGCAAAAGCATAAGTTATTTAATAGAAATCGAGAAAATACTGAAAAATGGGAAAGATAAGCCGAGGCGGGTGGCCGTATCCTTTGATAAGCTATTTGTACGAAAATTTTATCTTAAAACAATCTCAAACCACAGCATCTCACTCTCGTTGGATGATTTTGAATGAAAAACAAATTGTGTTGATATTTTTAACATTATCGAGATGATTTGCTATATTCTTAATGACTATATCACTCAAAACTGAAAACGATCTAAAGTACAACACAAATGTTTGTCAAGTATAGCATCTTGAGGAGGGCTCTAAGTATACGATCGCGACCCTATAGCGACGATATTTCGCGTGGGAGATTAGCACAAGATAGGGTTAATTTGATGATAATTTCATTGTAATTCTAATACCCAAGGACCATATTTTTACCAAATTAACTTAATTAAGGCTCTTTTCATAAGGAGTTTGTTGGTCTCCTCAGYGATATTGGTCGTCTTTGGTGCCACAGGTGGTAAACTCGCTGGGAATTTTWTTTCGTTTTGTGCTTAAAGACAACGGGCGTTGTTCGTAGAAATTRTGCTTYGGGATCCCTGTGGATAGAAATTGAAGGGACTGGGATCTAGTTTTTCGTGGTTGCTCCCTTAATAATTTTTTCTGTAGTGATTGTAAAAAATGGAAGTACTGGTGTCGTGTCTATGTCGGTCGCTTTAGAATTACTGCGCGCACTAGTTGAAACTGTYCATGACCGAAGTAATATAGGCAGTTTGTCATCATTACTGGACTAAAATAGATGTGTAGAAATAAAGGAAGAGTTATAGTGCTCTTSCTAAACACTACAACTTTCCTTTATTTTCATGTTTCTCATAGTGCCATGCGGTCCTCATGATTCATAAAATACTTGTGATATTATCCTCGTTGATTTAATTTTCAGAACTAAAATACATTTGTATATTCTAAACTATACAAGTATCTCATCAAATCCTTTAAATTCTCTTTGACGTATGGTAACGTTAATACAAACTTCGTCCTTCGTGGTTTTTAGAAGATATCCGCCAYCTTGGTACTTTTATCTATACCATGATGCATTTCGCTGAAACAAACGTGACGTCACAATGAGTAAGAACGAATTCATCGCAAATATTTCATTTTTAYTCAACCCTGCAGAATGGTTATTTATATTAAATCAAACTTCTGTGTGGTTGAATCTAAAAAAATATTCGCAAGTAAATGTAATGTTGCATGATTATATATCATTCTCAACTGAACAGAATACAGCAATATTCAGAAATTTTGATCGTTTTGACTCATATTCCAAGTTTCTATAAAATATATCACAGAAATTATTGGATATCATTGTTACTACAAGTTGTTACTAGCACTAGTACTTTCTGAAAAAAAATATTGGCGATGATATCCCATAATTTCTGATATATTTTATATATACTTCAAATATGAGCAAAAAAATAATAATTCCTACATATTGCTGTATTTCGAAATAGATATATCCATATATATGTGTCGATCTAGTGATTTTCATCTTATCTCTTGGTGCATCACGACGAAAAAGCTTCATTTCGACTCCTATGGGTTGGAATAACACATCGGAAGCAAACTCCATAAACACGCAATCAGAACATGGCTCCAGAATWGTGTCTCTCACCGCAAAAAGCCCCGAAGTGTCTTTTATCTTAATTATTTGGTTAACTGATTTCCAATTATTTGATACAGATCTCTTTGTTATCAATACCATTAGATTTGTGTGRAAAAAATCACGATGTTTTTAGTGAAAATAAAGTTTTGACTCCCGACAGACACAAATGTTTGAAATACCGCGAAAATGTTATCGAAGGGTTAGCATATCCCAGTGAAAATGTGTTTTTAAGTTGACCAGAGGCATAGCTCTATATATCCAGCGAATAAATCTGCTGTATCGTCTTTTTTTTACGCCATGAGCTTTCATTCTTCAGCTCACTGATATGTTAAGTACATTATAATTTCATAACAGCAACGAAGGGCGTTCTTCATACATCTAACACTTCTTTCGTTTATTCGTCCCTCCCTCCTTTCATTCACTCATTCACTCATTCATCCATTTTTCCACTCTCCCATCTTTATGATCTTCATATTTTGTAAATTAACCTACCGTTTCATGATATTATTTTTTAACTTTTTTTAGACATTTCAGTTTACTTATTCAGTAAKTATTTTTGAAGGACACACTTTGTAGGCCGTTTTTCATAGGTCACTTCATGGAATGACTAAACATTGTAAAAGCTCCCTCTCTTTCTTCACGACGAATGCTATTTTTGCGGCTGTTTTAGATTAACCAAAAATTCCTCCTCCCTGCTCAACACAGTACAAAGTACGTCCTTTTTTAAACTCCATTTGACATGACTTTGATTAGGTTATCTTTCCTACTATTATATCATAATATCCTTTTCTCGTYTCTCGTATGATTCCTAGTAATTGGCTAAATTATAGACCTTATCTCCTAACTCGCCTTAACGCTTCCTCACTGTTGTTATGCCTAAAGACATCCAAGTGTCGGAGATACACTTTTAAGATTGTTAAATGATAATTAAATGGAAGTGAAATGGAAATATTTTTGTATTATCAGAGGCTTGTGTCCTCTTCACGAAAAATTAAATGAAATGTTTGCTGCCTTTTAATTACTCGTCAAAATCTAAAAGAAATCGAAATACGATTAGCTTTTTTCCATGAGCTTAAAGCTATAGTAAACAGTGATTTTCCGTATGTTTACGTACGTTTTCGAGACGTTTCCGTGCGCTTTGGTGACATCAGAATCAGCTAAGCGTGTATTAAGGCTTCTTGTGCACTGATATGTATTCGCATAGCTGCCAATTTATCGTTTACAGTTCAGCAATACGGTAAGCATTTTAGCCGATTCTGCCCCGACCATCTTGAGTCCCACTGCTTCAAGGCATCATGGGATATTTGGGAGTGGGGGTCATGCATACATAGTCAAATAGATTCCAATAAAAGAGAATTTAAAAGATTACAAACTTCAAAGGAATGAACCTTAATAGGCACTTTCATTTTTTATTGTACGTTAGCAAGCTTGATGTACAAAGCTGATCGCAACGACGTTTTGCATGTAGAAGTTTAAACTTTTATCTGCGATATCTTCAGAACTGCACTACTAGAGAGAAAACCCACTTTRCGGACGCGAAGAAATATATAAGTGTTAATGGACCCTAATATATCTCTTACACACTAATGTGTATTCGTAGCGTTTTGTACCGTTCTTTGTGCCTTGCTTGGAATTAAAAACATTCAATGCTATTGCAATTAGCAATACCGCAACAGTGTTGATCACCAAATGACCTTTATTATAATCCAACAATTGTGAATCGTCCGATAATTTTGAATGGTGTTTGTGGGCGTGAGACAGTATTTTCCGCAGCCTTAGTCTCGGTTTCAGYGCGCATTTACGATGGATGAAGCCGTTTGGTACCGAATTATTTATGAAGATCAAACAATGTTGTATGGTGTTCAGTTGGGTCGTCTAATATTCTCGGCGACTTCTCTTGAAAGAGTGAACGCGTTTTCATGCTCAGTAAAGAAAGAATAAAGAAACAACAACTTGTAACTGCATGATCCGTAAATTTTGATGTGATATAATACTGTACAATTTATTTAATTTCTCTTCTAATAATCCTGGCAATTACATGTAATCTCGATTTCTCTACTTTTTACATGGTGCGGAAATCGATTATTTTTCCAGTCATCGGGTAKTTAAAGCGAAGTATGGCAAGCGTGCCTATCAAGTCAATTAACGGACCGTGATATGGTTCTCATTATAGGGCGTGGTTTCCATGGTGGGTCAGCAAGAGCGCGTGATTGTGCAAGCTGTTCATGAGCTGTTTGATAAAACATCCACAACGCCTTGGGACGAACAGGAAAAACGAACAAACCGACTTGTATTCATTGGTACGTTATGATTGTGTGTTTAAGTTATAGTTCTTTGAGGGGGCAAAACAGCTTTTTAACTTTATGCTGTCATAACTATTATCTGGTAATAGACCGACAGAAGATCCCATAAAGCCGTGAAATAGAGAGGTTTTCATAAACCCGTGAAACAATGTGTAATATGCAAAGTGTAATMAAATCTGATACACGTAAACGGATTTATGAAAACCACTCACTTTAGTACTCTTATTCTGCACACTTTTCTTTGTCTTTCGGATTAGAGTCATTGTCATCCGTCTGTGAAACAATTACTASTAGTCATTGTTTAATAGTAACTATTAGTATGCATTAGGCTACTAAAAGGCAAAATCAAAACCGTGTTTGCCTAATTAGTTTGTCGCATGTAATAAGTTAAACTATTGGGAGCTAATAGGGGGTAATAGTATTTAATAGTACAAAATGACTTTCACAGGTTATCATTGACTGTTACACTGTTTCTTCATGAGGTGATTAATTTTGCTTTTGGTTTCCGTAAAGCCGTGAAATGCACTCTACGCTCTAATACTCTTTATTTTGCTCGTTTTCCTTGTATTTTCGATGTTTCACACATTATACTTTATTTCACAGGTTAAAAACCACTTTGTTCTTAATTGTTATCATATCATGTTATTATCATCACCATCAGTGGAAAAATGCTTGAGATTTATTTTTATAAAGGTTACATTTGAAGATTGTGAGAACATATATTGAAAGATGAATGAAAAGCTAAATAAAGAAATGAAAAAATAAATAATCCACGGGATTTATGAATAAATAAATAAAAATGGTAAATACGATTAACTAAATATATAGATAAACTATCAAATGCATGAGTAAAGTCGGACTGAAAAGATGAATGGCTGGATAAACGAATGAATGAATTTATGAAACTATAAAACCAGCTCCTGATAAAATGAATTATCAATTTTCAATAAAAAACAACAATTGTAGAGAACAACATTTTTATATCAATTCCAATAGCAAGTATCACTCATACTGAATGGGTTTTCTTGAAAACATTATCTGTCAACAGGTCGAAATCTCGACGAAAAAGCACTGAAAGCATCGTTTGAAGTGATACTAAAACAGTGAACACTGAYTTGGTCGCCATTTTCACAAGAATCTGATAAGATGAGGATATCGGYTYTGATTGGATGCCCAGGTTGTGATGTCATCGTGTGTGACGGTCAAAATATGGTACAGTACTGCTGAACATTATTGGAATTATAAAACAGACTTTGCTTTGGATTCTTTATTTAATCATAGAATAAAAATATTGCATTTTATTCGGTCTTTTGAATGATTGAATATTGTACTTACTGGTTTAAGTTGCTGTTCGCATTCCGTATTTTATAAAGCGATTATTTTCGAGCTGAAACCAAACTGGGCAGCCATCTTGAAATTTCTTGTGCCAGGAGCCATCCTTCTTGGAGCCTACAACTGCACAATCTTGGACCCTTTTGTATGGCTTCTATGCGATATATTTTTGAGAAAGTTTATGCTATATTTGATTTGTGTTTGCGAGATTTGGGCACAGTTTTCGGTAAAGTTTAACGTGGTTTTTGGATTGATGGAAATACTCAAGCCCATTGAAAGTTCATAAGTACCGAACACAACGATATAAAATTATGCTTTATTTTTTTTCTGTGTGTGCAAAGAAAAGAAGTGAAAATGTATAGATTTTATATTCATCATGAAAAATTCGCCTTCAATTCTGTCCTCAATTCGCCTTTTTGGAATAAAAGTGTTTGCTACAAACCGAAAGGAATTGCGCTTTTTCTRAGACGTTTTCCCTGTCAAATGATCTATGACTTTTCTTATTCACAGTTGCTTTAAAATCCCGCTTTATTGTCCTTCATTTTAGCTTACAAGTGTTGAATTGTCCGCGTGCGAGTAGCTTGCTGTTTACAAAGCTTGTTAACTATGAAGTGCGTATTTTAAACATCAAAAGGCTGAGAACCTACTGTGTCAACGTCCGCTTGTCTTTAACTGTCGACTAGCAAACGTAACGGATTCAATTGACTATAATTTCAATTATTTTTTCTCGCTCYTTTATGATTTCAATGAAACCCGCCATCGTATCCTCTTCTTTGTCGAATTGCCCTTTTTATTTGTCGTTTGTTTGCCTAAGCGATGAATAAAAGTCAACTTTCAATGTGAAAGAGTCCTTTCTTTGCTTATGAAGTGTRAAGTGTTTCCTTTCTGAATTGCCATGAATCAATTGTTGATAGCTAGTTAAATTACTCTTTATAATTTTGTTTTACTATAATATTTGTTTATCATAATCGCCGAAAATATTTCATAAGTTATGTATGTAAAGCTTACTAATACAAAAAAGAAATGTGTTAAAGGATATGGAAACAGATTTTTGTTTTAAAGTGATGTTTGATTCCAAACGCGAAATGGTTCATAAAAAAACAGCAATTAAAAATAAGTACGGAGCGACGTAAAATGTACAAATCTAATGTAAATTTTCWAAGACGACTAAACTGTTTTCTTAAAATTGATATCAAAAGACYGAAAATGAACAAGAAACACGATTTTGGAGTGTTTGGTCAATATTCATCTAACTGGCAGACCGTGTGGCTCGTATTCCTAAAATCTGGTCTTCATTAACGCCGGTTTTAGCGCATCGGTTAGTTTAAAGAAAGATTATAAAAGATAATTATTTTGCTTCCGATTACACAACGTTTCGCTKTGCTTTTACGGTTTTTAAAACGGCTTTTTTAGAGGTTAACTAAGCTATACAAACTACCGKAGCGCGAGAKAGCACACACCCGCGAAAATTAGTTAAAAACGCCGAAGGACAGTCCGGTCCTTTGATACAGATATTTTGATCATAATTAAGAAGAATTATCTTATGAAAATCAGGGGAAAATGAGTCGCAATTTCAATGAAAATAGTCTCTAAATGTGCTAAAGTTATCAATTTTTTGACAATACTTTTATGAAGAAATTGTATTTTATAGAATTTGAAAATGTGCATTCTATCATGGGAGGAGACAAATCTATACTGCTTTTAATGTGATTAACTTTAAAAGACAGTGTTTTCAGACATATCATGAAGTTCTATATCTCCAAAGTGAGTGCTCTACATTTAGCCATCAGTTAAAAATCAGAAGATATGGAGTTGATGTTAAACAAGCTGAATTTGATAGACATTTGGCGAAAAATGCACCTTTTTAAGAGGCCAAAATACCGGATGCCATTTTAAAAGTCTTTTATGAGCACATTCGCAATTTACCTGAATTATAATAAGTGTTAAAGTCAATGGTTTTCGGTTTACAGTAAAATTTCTTTCAAAGTGTCAACAGCTGAAATATTGTCAGATGGTTCGAGTATGGATCAAGGTGAATATATTGTGGTTGGACGTTATTGGCTTCCGGCTTTCTCTTTGTACGAATAAACCTGCTTCAAGGGCTACTTTTAATTAATATTGTTTCAGAAAACAGAGCGTAAAAGTTGATGCTGAAATAATGTAGAGAGAGGAAATGAAACATTTACTCCTGTCGCGCGCACGGTCGCGCGCCAAAACATTGCCAAACGCGTCGAAAATTTTCCCGCGCTTTTAATTGTTCTCCACTTGACCTATTATAAAGAGAAATCCTTTTGAAAATGTATGTCAATTTTGACACAATTTTAAATGGCATTATAAAAGTCTAGGTTAAAAAGTATGAACTTCAATAATATTACTATTGTTTTCTTTTGAAAGGGCGTTTGAGTTCAATATCATTTTGAAAAGCAAAGTCAATTTAATGTCGTCTATTTGGAAACACTAGTGAAGTTTGTAAATAAATATTCATATATCCCCTCTTAGTTTTGACTTCAAAAACCACTTTTGGACCTTCAATGTCAATAACAGCATTAAACTTTAAAAAGAMTTTATTGMSAAAAGTACGATTTTATGTTCAGCAAAGCTGCAAAAGTTACAACAATGATTTAARATTTCACGTCGCTTCCATTCGCTTTTCAAAGGAATTGGACTTCATGACTTTTTAAAATTTGTCAGATCAATCACTTAAATTTTACATTTGAATCCACTAAAGCTAATTTTAGGCTGTACGTTTGGATTTTCAAACAGCGGGAGACCGTCTTCACAAAGGCAAAACCAATTTTCTTTTTCGTCTCMATTTCTTTTCATTTGAGTATCAAATAGGTTTAAAGTTGCAGATGCCTCGGTCGGCATATTGTCATTGTAAARTGTAACTGATTTTATTTATTGTGATGATTTGGAAATGACTGATCGGATTTAACTACTAACGCGTTCTTCCGATTCTACGCAATGTAGCTTTTTTAAATTACTCTTTCGTTCTGATGCTGAAGTTCTCTGAGATTGAAAAGGCAGTTTATTGACGATAGCGCGTGTCCATGTTTGTTCATAACAGTTGAATTGTTTTTGCKTTTGAACTCCTTTTGAAAAACATTTAGTTTTGCTCTAAAATAAAGGCGATAGTCAAAGGTCTTTACAAATAGCTCAGACGGGTTTAGGTTAGAGACTATTGCATAAAAAGTGGAGATCTCATGTTTTGCTGTAAAGATGAMACTGGAAATATTGACTACAAGAGCGCGCTGAGCTAATCGTATCTTTGTCGCTCTTTATTGGCAATAACTCGATTTGGATATTAAGCTTTCCTTAGATTTCTTAATTCTTATCAAGCAGTGTATAGGCATTATTAGATTAAAAAGATCAAAATTGAATTAAAATACAAAAAATGAATGCGAAATCTCATGGCCGGATAGCAAACTGACTCAAAACGGTTGTGAATTGAAAACTTGGCTYACKTTACCTTTTTAACATTTTGCTACACGTTCTTTTGATTCTATTAGAAGTAAATTTGTATTGCTATTCTTCAAGTATAATATTTTGTTTACAATCCAAGTGTAAGAGTGGTCTAATAATTTTCTTGTACTTGCGATGTTTGAGATTGATTAACTAAATTGCTGTGATTCCCTAGATCACACACTCGTGTTTTTTTACTCTTTCCCGCCTTTGCAAATTACTTTCTGTCTCCCTCGATTAATTACATCTAAGTTTGGCGGGTATTTAAGATGTTTTAGAGCATTAAGTATGCCATAAGACCTCTTTAATGTAACAAAAGCACGCTCAAAACTGTATTTTTTATTGCCTTGTAATTTATATCAAAGACGTTTTGCCTCCGACAAAATGGCCGACCATTACATGAAAACATTTTTCCTTCTTTGCCGACAGTAATCCTCTCTGGGTAATTGTTTTTTTATCACAAAGAAAAAAAAGCTCATCTTAAGTATTTTYAGCCTCTTGTCTTTATTAAAATAAAGCAAAATCATTCATAATTTACAATAAAGTATCCGTGTTGACGATGAAATAAAACCACATTTGGACAGTATCATGTGATTTTGAAATCGATCTCAAAGATGGCGACGATATGAAAGAAAAAAATCACAAAGGAATACAGTGTTTTTTTTATAAATTAACTCTGTAGTTTTATTCCAAAGTTTTATTCATCGCATTAAAGGTCGAAAATAAGCAGTTTTTATAGTTTTTCTTCAATTGTATCCCGACTCTTCAAGGTTCCTCTGTTTTGAATGAATTCATTGGTACTAACTGCATTAATAGACGATCGCTACCGAAAAGATACCTTCTCCTGATATTATTGTGATTACGAGATTGTGATTCAGAAAAATGCTCGTTTATATCGAATAATAGTCTCAAAGTAGATAAGTTCCTAAATTATCTAGAGTCATAACAAGCTCAGATAATTTCCAAAGTCACTAAGTCAAGTTCTTTTCAAGTCACAAGGCTTTAAAGATTTAAATCCAGTTTGGCCAAACAACTAGTTTAAAAATATGAATCCTTTTTSCTTYTAATTTAAGAAATCTGCAACTTCATTATTTCATTTGCGGACAAACTAAAGTTAAAATAAATCTTGTCGAAACGTGTATGTTAAAATCAAAGTCTTCAGAATTCAAAGTTTCCACTTTGTAATCGAGAATAAAGTTTGAATTGTGCGAAAATRATCTGACTRAGCCATTTCGGCAATTGAAAAGACTTMATTTATTTAAGAAAGAAACTACCTATGGGCTTGTAACATAACAAATTTTGTTTCCCTTGGAGGCCAGTTGATCTTCAAGATAACTTATCTCTATTTCTGAGGATGACTGTCTAATTATCTAATTCATTGGCTTGCATGTTTAAAATCAGATATCTTTGACCCTTTTCTATTTGCATAACTTTTTCAAGCTTCGATACTGTGGTTTTCAACTCCCGATAAGTCGGGTTATTCTGTATCAACCAAACATTTTTAGAGTAACAATTTTTCAGTAAGCGTGAAACGCTTATTACTAAATTGCGCAAAATTTTGCTTGTTGGACAGAAGGAAACAAAAGAATCCAAATAAAATACTGGACAAAATAGTGTTAACAAAGCTTGAATTCACTCAATGCTTTCTTTAGAGAGGACTTTCTTATCGTTTCTCGTAAATTACTACCGAGACTTTTACAATTTTATTATATAAAGTATGAAGTGGTATCAGGTCAAAATATGTAACAATTTGTCTACAGAATTGCAACATTCTTTCACAATATTTCATTAATTGACAACACTTTCAGGGCATTTTCTATGTTCTTYWWAAAAAGAAGCAAAGAATGTAAATTTTGCGTTATARTTTTTGTTTTTTCACTACTTTCACACCATTCTTTTGCGGCTACGAACTCGACAGTATTCGATAACAAGAATAGCAAAGCACSCAAAGTTTTCTCAGGCAAACTTGATGGTTTTGTGTGTGTTTTTTTATTGGTTTGTGTCTCGGTGCTTTTAGAGGGTTCTGTCAACTAGTSAGYATCAYTGATATGTTTTTGATATCATTCCCATATGGACATGTTTATACGATCTAGCAGGGGACAAAATAAGCATCTAAAAGGGTTTACAAGGACTTTGGCTCTACATTAGAAAAACATTCGTAGCGTARTTGTATGCGACAGCAATTAGTTGAAATGCGAGACTGAAATAACTTGAAGTATCCTCTCCAAATTTACAGATCAGAGAAGTACCAACTACCTCGATACCAATGGTTTTTACAGCTCCTTTGTTCTTGACCAACTTCCCCTTTCTCACGATGTTATCTGCTATCTTCCTTTCACAAAGTAATTTTATTATTTTCATCCATTGTCATTTTTTCTTTGACTTTTAGGGAACTCCTTACCTCGAGTGCTAGCCAATTTATCTGACACACGACCGCGTCTTTGGTCGACTGATTCAAACTCAAACCCGAAATTATTCTTTAATGTTTTAACCTTTTGCCTTAGTTAGTTAAGACTCTTTGTCTTCAATTTTCTCTGTTGTATTTGCGAGATTAACGCACAAAAAAGACATATTCTTGTAAAACATTTGTATTTTAGAATGATATTCCTCGCGAATTATACAAAGTAATTTAGCATTAATTTCTTCAGAATTAACTCCCACATTTCTTGTGTTTAATATTTCATAAAACCTTGAGAGTATGATATAGTTAACGACAATTCGTAATCGAGCAAATTAATGTAATTGGTGTTAGGCCTTAAAGTAATACTTCGCTCATTCGTGAGTAAGCATAGCTTTAGTTAATTGATCGTAATTGTCAATACACAAAAACTCACGGTGATCAAAAGTTAGAGAGTCTACTGCAACATATTTATATCTTTGCTAATTGTTTATTGTAAGGGACAACTCATCTTAGGATAGTTCATCAAAACATAGTTTTTAATATGATACAATGCAAAAAAATAGCTTTACTTTTACTGAAACTCTCTAGCAGTATATTTGGTTGATTTCGCCGTTTAGGCGTTTTATACTYTCCCTCTAAAAGGTGTTTTGTATTTTTTGCCAATAAGCATTGTTCGTAATTTGTCTTTTTTCGCGCGATTTCGTAATCCAGATGAACTTCAACTGATCTGCATTTAATTTTACTTCTAAATTGTAATTTAATTTTATATATAAAGATGGATTTTCCATGTTCCAATTTAATAAATACACCTGAGGGTTGGTGAATAAATACACATTTTTCAATAAAATACAAATCTTTGGTAAAGAAAATTGATTTGTTCAATTAAAATTCTCCCATGCCTCACAATCCAAAATTCATTTCCTGGAGTCGCTACGGGATGTGGCCCAGTGCCGTTTGACATCCCACCATTCATTATTGGTCGAGATTGTCAAAATCGCTGCCATCTGCAAATGATTTTTGTGTACTTTTAAACCATTATTCCTTGTGTTTACACGGTCCTAAGCTAAACAAGCTGATAGGTCGAWCGATATAAAACATGCGTTGATACCCTAATTATTGGCGCGCGAGTCGTGTCATATTGTGGATAAACTTGTTTTCCCTTCAGGTCATGCATACTGATACATTCCAATTTGATTTTCTGTTCCTGTTTGGTTTACTAAGCTTTAGACAAGTTGTTATACGCTGTAATTACAATCTACACGAAGTAATTAATAGATGTTGCCCAAGCGTATCAACCATTTGAATGCTAATGCGTAGATAAATCCGCGGTGCCTCAGGGAATGCCATTTGTTTTCGGAGGCGCGCCTTACGTAGTGGGTGGGCCGAGCACCGCTTAACGAATTCGAAGGAGACTATAAAAGATACAGTTGTTACTTTGGTGCGCTCATAATCTCACCGACCGGGACAGCGACAACATCTCTAGAAGGAAAGAATACTCGATCAGTWGAACGCTTCATCGAATCATCTGAGTTCCAGAATATCTTGATCATTAGAAAACTTGATCACCAACACATTTAACAAGGGTAATACTTCTTGAGAAGAACRATTCCTCAATCGAGAAATTGAAAAGGAATACTTGATCAGTGGAATACTTGATCAAAGAAAAATCAAGATGACTTCAGAGGATCAAGATCAAGTGTTYCAKGGTGTGGATGGCGAAGAAGAAGAAGAATCGTTCCACGACGGTGCTGAGACCAAAGACTCGTTTTCTATGAGTGATGAGTCGTTCTCGAGTGTCAAAGAACGCGATTCKKCTGCTCACGAGAAAGATGACGAACAATCAGTTGACGCTGGAAGTAAGAACAGTAGCGAAGTAAAGCGCCATAGCAGCGTTTCCAAGCCACCGTATTCCTACATTGCGTTGATAACGATGGCAATTCTCCAGTCCCCTCAACGAAAGCTCACACTTAGTGACATTTGCGATTTTATAAAACGTCGTTTTGTGTATTACAGAGAAAAGTTTCCTTCTTGGCAGAACTCAATCCGACACAATTTATCATTGAATGACTGCTTTGTAAAAATGCCGCGTGAACCAGGAAACCCTGGAAAAGGGAATTACTGGACACTGGACCCCGCAAGCGAGGGAATGTTTGACAATGGCAGCTTCCTAAGAAGACGAAAGCGATTCAAACGACCAAGGCCGCCAGATGGCATGGGGGGAACATACGGCCTCCAGTATTACTGGAATTGTAACTCCTTATGTTGGCGATCTCCTGTATACAGCTCACCTTATTCTCACCCCTACATGCCCTACTACCCRCAGCCTCCAACTCTCCATCGTCTTGCGCCCATTCGACCAACAGAACTGGCCTCTAAAGAAAAGGAAAAGCCGAAATTCACTATCGACAGCATTATAGGAACAGATAATGATAATCAAAAAACTCTGAAAGAGCCGATTGAACACGAYTCGCGCGTTTCAAGTCCTTCTCCATCGAGAAGTCATAGTTACTGCTCCGCTTTTGATTCGACCGACTCTTCGTGTCCGTATGATACTGTGAGCCCGTGTCATGGATTTTGTTTACAGTGTAACTATGTTGTGCGGTAGAAAATGCACAATTTCAAAGTCATCTCTCGCTGAGTTGTGTTTTACGCACGAGAAACTTGACGACGTAACGACGCGACGTTTGACGGTCTCTGGAGCCGTTAGTGGCCAAGTGAACTCGCTTGGACTTCACGCGWACTCTCTTGGTATACAATATCATCCCTCTTGAAATTACACTTTTATTGCGCATCACACTCTCAAATGAGGGCAAGTACTTAAAAAATCTTATTAGAAGGACTATAATTTGAATATATTTAGAGCCATGTATATAATTTTTATCGTTTATATAGTCAATTTGATTTTTATTTTGACGATTAATTAAGATTTTTTTTGTCGAATTTGATCTTTTGATTCACGGGTTATTAAGACTCCATCTTTCAGAAGTTTCCTCCAGCACTTTGAACGACGCTTTGTTTGTGAATTAATATATAAAGTACATGATAGAGAGTTTGATTATAATTACATAAATTGTGGAGTGATTGAATTTGATGATTATTGTGTTTATTGTGTATAGGGGGTTCGTTTTATGGTAACAATTAGAGTTTACAAAAGGTAAAAGTTGTTTCCTTCCTGACGAATAAAAGGAGTATTGACCGATGTTTTGAGTTGCTACACTATTCAATCTCATTCCAGCTGATACACTAACCTTTAAACAAGCTCTCTAAAGCTTTGTTTTGTTATAATCTCTATGAGCAATGACAAATGTTTTGTGAAATATCTTCTTAAAGCCTGTCTTTGAATGACAGAATGTCTGTATAAAAAGCGACTTCTTAAGYCCTATTTCCTATGTRTCTTTGTCTTAATGTCTTTCTAAACGCTTCGGGCTATGAAACACAAGGAAAAACTCTTCCTTTTTCAGAAAGCTTTGCATTTACCAGTCGCGAAGATTTTAGGAAGGATTTAGTTTCAGGAGAAGCGCTCAAGACGTTGCGAAGTATCTTACTCTTGTTGACTTAGCTTTGCCCGACCAAATGYGTGCGGTAGTTGGCGGTACATTATTACCGATTTGGTATTGAAATTATCAATTATGACACGAATTTAAGACCRTTTTACGCTTCTAATAAAAGTGTTATATCYACTTTTCAACTTTACGTGAAATTTGTAATGTCAAATTCAAAAAGTCGCCATTGTATTTCTCAATTCATTTTTTACTCACGGCGATACTTTTTTGTATCAAATAATTTTTTTCGTTTWTTTTTTTKKTWAWTKKWAAAMYTWWWWTTWAAAAAATGTCTTGTTTTTGCTTTGAAGTTTTATCATTTCGTCAAAAACGAAGATGACAAATTGGTTCGCTGCGGTTTCATCTCAGTATGTATTTTCTWCGAAGGAAAACCAAGTTTCGAATTCAATGAAATAGGTTACTCCCAACACTTAAAAGCTCACAAAAGCAGTTAAAACGGACTGAAAGTGTCAATTAATGCAAATAACAATAAATTTGTGTATTTTAGACGCATATAACTTCGTACACAATAGGGATTACGAGCTGGTTCTCAATATGTTTGAATGGGTATCGAGTGTGTCGTTGTTTGTTCGTCGGTTATCGCAGTTCGAACTATGAGGCCGTCACAACCTCTTCTTGCTATTGTTGTTACGGTCATTTGCCTTATTCAGGAAATACATACAGATAGATATCTCGAAAAGGCACCGAAATCCAACACAAAAGAAACATAAGAACAATCATACATCTAAACTCAAACACTCGATGATCGCCTTTCTTTCATCAAATGCCTTATTGTTGAATAGCCAAATTAACAAAACATATGTTATTCCATCCACTAAACTCTTTAGGCCATTCCCAAAGGCAATATTTTAGCAGGATAAGCACCCCAAATGGTCCTAAACGTGCTAATTAAATGTAAGCCTTTGCATACTTCATATTCTCTAACTACTGATTCTGATCGGTGTAGTCGGAAAATCCGGTAGTCAAACAGTGTTGTGTCCATTCAAGTTACTTAAGCGAGCTAAAGTAATCGCTCCAGACCGCTTTGTTTAGTGGATATTAGGTTGTTGTACACTACAGGGGGGACCAGTTGTGTAAACTCTACACAAATCGCCCATATGAACAAGAACAGTATTTTCTCACGAACTATGGCGAGCGTTAATTTAAAGGAAAAACTCATCAAARGACATCAATAGTTTTCATTGTCTAACGCAGAAAGAAAAATTAACGAAGCCAAGCCGTTTTTTGGTCATCATTTTAATAAAACAAAGGTTTGCTGCGAATTGTTTTGCTTTGCTGGAGTATTTGTAAACATTCTCGAGTGCGAACACTCCAGATCGCGTTGGAAGCATATGTTCAGAAAGTAAAAATAGCAGAAAATTTCGTGCAATCATAACACACTCTTGTCTGTCAAGACGTTGGTAGTTTTGTGGTGCTTAGTCATCAATGGTTTCCTGACTTTCCGAAAGCGAAGGTCAGGTTTTTCTGTTGTTTTTACAGATCCGATTTTGCCGGCATATTGAAATAACGTTATTAAGTTGCAAGACCTTTTCTTGTTTTCAGTTTGTCTAAAGTGCTCTCGTTATGAGCTCAACATGTGAGAGTGTACATGCAGACGAGATGTTTGCTTCTCTCAGCGGTCCAGTATTGAAGTTTGTCCTTTTTTAAAAATAAACGCATCTAATTTCTTTAATTTCAACTTAAAAATGTTTTTTATCGCGGCTTGTATTTTGGGACTTAGAGACGAGCCATCAGGATTGGACAATGTAAAATTGAGAAAAAATAAAAGTCGAAAGCGAACAGGAAAAAAAATTAAAACATATATATTTATATGCGGAGCAAATCTTACATCAACTAAAAACTGAAATGCGYGTTTCTCTTTCTTTGTTTTTCCAAAATTTTTAAGAAAATCTTTTGACTGTAAGTGTTTATGTAGACAAAAAAACAATTCATCGCTGTGTGATGATGAGAATTCCACACAAGTGCGCGCTGAAAACTACAATCTTATAATTAAAAACAAAAGGACAAATTATATCTGATAAAGTTTTTATCGTAATTTTTGTCCTGTTTTTCCTGTTAACTAAACAATTTCTATTAATCCAGCCCACACTTGCTAGACCACCCTGGAAACTTATGATAATCTTCAGTAACGTTTTCTTTTTCACAGTGGGCTGCCATGAGCTATCTGTGCATCAAATCAAGCGGATGCTTGTCCGTGAGAAGTGCAGTTCCTTTACTCATTTTTGCTGCATTTTTATGTGTTTTAACACTTAAAAGCGTTTGATTATAACCCATTTACACAAAAAAGTAGTTGAACTTGTAAAACGTTAGTGAAGATATCAGTGTAGTCACCTTCAATAATGTGGAAAATCATAATTATGTATTTTTCTCCCGCTCTYGCTGTTTTCAAGCATTTCTTTATTATCATCTAGATCCAACTAGAATTGAAACTAGAATTATGCGTTCTAATGAAATCGAAAGACACCATTCCTTTGCGGTCTTCAACTTATAAAATTCACGTTTTTCAGATTAAAACTCACTAAGATACCTCGTTGCAGTATTTACGTGCTGAAAAGAGTTCCTCTTCTRGAAATTATTCATCGATAACGTCAGTTATCTTATTGGGCCGTGACTGTGTGGCAAGGAAAAGAAAATKTTAACTGTTTATTCTCGAGATTGGCAAGTTTTTATCGCTGTTTTTCGTTTGCGCCATTTGCAGTCGCCCCTTGTCTGAGTACCGAGGAATTGAAGCAAAGAGAAAGTTTTTATTAAAGATAAGATATATAAATTCTAAAATATGATGGATCGTCTTTTCCATCTAATCTTACACAGTCTTGCATGAGYATTGCGCGCACAAGCTCTGCTTGCTCGAATTTTTGTTTATTATCATAAAGTTTATTGCTTTCTTTTTGTTTCTGCAATAATTTTCCTTCCCCTTGGTATGTCCGCTGTCTTTCCTTTGTTGCCTTTGGCGTTTTTCTTTCTTTTGTGGATGTTTGTGGAGTAAAGAGAATTTTTATGTTTATTAATGTTAGCCTGGTAATCTTGATTTTTTTTGGTGACATATCTCTTTGTTGTTCTGGAGTTTGATTATTATTATTCTTGCTATTTATTCCTTCAATTCTTCCATTTCTTTCCATTTTTGTATTCTTTTTTGTCTGCTTTTGCGTCGTCGCATAATGTTCTTTCTTTCTCATCATTTAGCCAGTTCTCGTTCTCTCTTCGTTCTAACTACTCACTTCTTATGTTTATCTTTCCTCGTCGTCCTCTTCTTTTTCCTTGTTTCTGCTCCCCCTTCTCATCTTCCTAGTGCCTCGTCGCCATTTTCTTCTAATAATCCTAATCCCCTTCTTCCTCCTTGTTCTGTTGCTTCTTCTTCTTCTTCGTCCTCCCCATGTCCACTTTGAGCGTCCTTCCCTTCATTATCATTAGAGCTAACAAAATGACAGTTTATCAAAATCATTCAATTGTTTRCTGTAATTATTAACGCTCTCTCGCACGCGTTGAGTTTTTCAAGCCGCTCCAATGGTTCCCTTGTTTGCTGCTGTTATTAACTCACTCCGGTTGTTTACTTTAAGTTTCTGAAAAGATTTCCACATTACAAACAATTGCGCGTGTTATATTCACGTATTATAATAAGTTTGTTTACTTTTYCATTGATGTATTGAAATCTTTTGATTGCATTTGATATGAAAACCGTGCTATTCTCACTTTGGCATCGTGTCGTCATCGCCGCCATTTTGGTGATAACAAAGCATTTCTCCTTGATTTCTCCTGGTTATTCATCCAACATGGCGGCGATTGGCGGCGATAGCTTATTTTTCTATTTCTCAAGGCATTCTGGATCACGTGACTGCAAAGATAGAGTGGCGCCATTTTGGATAAAGATACTTTCCTGGTTTTGGATTCTCCTGTTTATTCATCTAACATGACGGCGATATCYTTGTTTTATTTTTATTATTTATTATTATTTTTATTACTTTATTATTACATTATTGATCGTGTGTTATAATAATCATCTCTTGTAGTTGTACAATTAGAAGACCATGGTGAACCGGCATCATTTGCGAATTTTTGTTTATTTTTGAAAATAAAAATACATCGTAATATAAGCAAAACTAATTACTCTTTATCATCCCTTCATGCTCTAAGAATGGAGATATTGTAAGATTCGTGACCTTAAACGGATGTTTAAAGTTACTTCATTCGGGTTTTTTATTGCTGTTAGAACAAAGATTGTGATATAATGAAATAACAAAGAGAGACAGGCAATACAAAAAACAAGATGTCCAGTAGAACAATAGRCATTGTCTGACATAATCCTACAATTCTTTGTTTTGTTGTCTTGATCAATCACAAGCTTTATTCTCTAYATATGAAAACTCTAAAACACGACCGCAATGAATGCCGGTTCACAATGGACCTTTAAACAGTTTATTATTTATATTATTTATATTATTGATTTACATCCTGGGAATTTGAACATTRTTTTTTCATCCAACATGGCGGATTGAAGCTTTGGTCTTATGATTACGCTTGTGCATATGGCAACGTCTTATTTCAGAGTCACGTGACTTTATTCCTTGGTGTTTTCGTTTTTTCTGTTTATGCATCGTAGTTAAAAAAGTTTTGAAAGAATTTCATCCTGATATCACACGCAATGACGCTCCCCACCCCTCCCCTCTTCTATTCAGTCTGAATATATTTACATTACTGCATTACAAAGGCGTAGCAGACGGCGAAAATGTTGTKTCCAGAGTAACTGGCAGAAACCATGAAGTCTTTTTTAGGATCCCAGATACAYTGACTTGATATCTGCATGCCTTGTTCTCGCACTTCACCGATGTAGACGACTGCGAGGACTTTCTGTCCTTCTTTAAGCACCTTCATTCGTACTTGCTCCTCTACTTTTTTACTGATGCAAACAGCTTGTTCAGAGCATAGTTTACAGTCGTATTTTTTCTTAGTAAGATTTTCCAGTAGAACTGTCGCAATGATTTCCTCGGAGTACTGCTTTAGTTTTCCTTGTTCAGCCTCGAGTGTCGACGAAACATCGTAATCACACTCGTTGAGCACGAAGCTTGAACGTGGGCTGACTTGATCTTCAAGCAACCTCGATGCAATTGACTGAACAGCTGAGATTTCAAGGTTRCTGGTCTTGGAAATACGTTTAATTTCCATTTCTGCTGAGTCGAAAGAGTACGACCTGCGTCTTAAAACCCTCGGCCGCTGCACGGGAGCTGTTAAATGCGACATTGTTTTGGTAACTGCGTTTTCAAAAAACGGAGGAATATCTTTTCTTGTTAACTGCAGTTTTGCTGTTTACGTGCCTACTTCACTCATTATGACTGACTTCAATGATGTCCTTCGTGACCTCTTGCAGACGTAAGTGATTTGATAATCGTGCCTGTTTTTGAAGTGTCGTGGGCGTAAACTTTGGTTTCAGCTAACAGTGTATATCCTGCCCGAGGTTCTAGTGTCAAAGAACATATAGATTACATAATGGTATTAATGTCGTCTTATACTAAGCTTAGTAAAGCTTTGATTCACATCTTTATTGCAGAAGAGTAATTTGCGCAATGATCGGCATAAGTGCGCGCATTCCTTAAGAGCGTTTGGTGGCTGCCAAAACGCACAGGTTTTCTGGGTTTCATCTCATTTGCAACCGCGGTTAGATTTCGAGATATTTTTGTCGCTGAAAACTTCAAAGTGTCTGGTATGTTCACTTAATAACCAACTATAATTGCAAGCTTTTATGTTAGCGATAAAATGGGATCCTGAAAACATTCCTTTGATTATTTCATCTTCAAATGCACTTAGCTAACTGTAAAACTTGACGTCGCAAGACTTTACATTTCGTCTTTTAGTAATGAGGCTCAAGTAGAAACTGTTTTTCTTCGTGAAGTGATGCATCTCGTCAATCGTTAGCGTTTGAAGTTAATATAACGATAAAAGTTGTTTCAAAGTGATAATAGCGCGCTATGTGTTGTGCAGAATAGATTTCTGACTCCAGTAGATTTTTCTAGAATAACCTTGGCTTTCTTAGAGAAAAACAATCTACTTTTTCCTCTTTCGAAACTGATACTTAGCTGCGCAAAAAGATAGACTTCCTCCTATTTTCATATCTTCACAATATTACGTCATTTTTGTCGAAATAAGAAAGAAAACTGAAAAAATGAGTGATAAAAAAATAACTTTTTACAGTGATATGCAAAAGTCAATTTTATAATTCACCGACATTCCCTTGGTATACTACACGAGATACGTTAGTTTATTATTGTGAGGACGACAAGAAGCAGTTAAAAGCAGGGCCCAGGTGTATGGAGGATGGATGGATACTTAATCATACACTAATAGATAATCAGGATTTTATCGGATAGAAAAGGATTTATCCCTGTAGGTAGCGCTATTCATTATCCTACGTACAACCGACCTTAGAATCAGGATGCAAGTAAAGAAAACATAAAAAAAGAAAACAATATCAAGCGAGCATAAAACGATGAAGCCACTAAACCCGTGAGTGATTCACGGGTTGCCACTACGCAGTCGTCACAAGCAGATCTTGTTTCACGGATGTAGAGTGTCAACTCGAGTCGTAAACAAGGCCACATGCTTGATTGCAATTGAATAAGCAACAAAACAGCGTCGAGTCGTTTGAAATAGTCTTAATTGAATTTGTCAACACACGCCTTCAATTCATGGTACTAACATGTGAATATCGAGATAGCCCCAGGCTAAACTAGAGAGACATTTTTACTGTTCTTGACGCCTTATAAATATAAATAGACAAAATACTGGCAAAATGACATTATGAACATCACGCGTGCGTTGTTGTGTAATAAGAGTCATTTAAGCTGGTCGCTCTGAAATAATAAGGGTTTAGGATGGATTTCATGAGTTGAAGATGCGCTCAATGGAATAAACACTCCCCTAGCGTGAGGGATCAGAAGTTTTATTGCTTTTTAACGTTCAAAGGTCGCGTTTGATGATTAATTGAAAAGCTATCCGTTTTTACGACCATGGATAGAGTGAATGGTGGAGGGGAGGAGAGGTTATGAAAGATCGAACAGAGCCAGTAAAACAAGGTAGGATGGGGCCGGGGAGTGTGACCACGGTACGTGCGAATGTGTGTTTGCTCTGTTGTGATTGGTCCTGAGGGAGGTGAATGGCAGGTTGAATTATGGCACATGCAATGATGGATGGGGATGCATTTAATTTGATTAATAGAGCGATTGATTAATTGATTGGTCTATTGATTGTATGATTGATTGACTGATTGATGGATGGATGGATTGATTGATGGATTGCTTGTTCTATGATTAGGTGATTGTATGATTGATTGATCGCAAGGTTGGTTGATTCTTACAGGTTTAGGCCGTTTGCATTATGACGTAACTTTACTACAACTACCAGAGATCCTTGCGCATTTTCATTGTTATTCAGATTTTTAATCCCCTTGGAGATTAATAAAACAATTGGCACTAATTGTATTACAAAAGAAAGTTGGCAAAGCATTCTGGTAGTTGTAGTAAATGACGCCATAATCCATATCGCCTATTCGACAGATTGACGGAAAAGGTAACGGTCTTTATTTTGTTGTATTTTTAGAGCTCTAAAATAGCGCCTGGATGACTGAATTAACAGACGGAAAACAGTACAAACACATGAGAGTCATTTATGAGTCAAATAGTGTTTGAACTGCATTTATGGCTGTTGATACAAGACTCAGGCAGTGAAAATATTATGATACAAAATGTCTACAGTATACACAACGCAATCATATACAAGATAAATATATATACATACAGTACAAACTACATGTCTATCAAATAACAAGTTTACATTGCTGAGATAATGAATCCATCCAGACAGCCGTGAATTTTCGCAATGTCTGTCCTCTTTTTTTACGTAAGGAGTTCCGTGCGTTCTGATTGTTCTGATGAGCGAATGTACGTAACACTTGAATATTGCTTTTTTGATGACGTCAGACTATCATATACTTAATCTTATGTGACGTCATATAGAGATAAAATCCACGTTAATTGAGTGTATAATTATTGGTATCAGTTGTTTGACGATGCATTTGACGCACCGGAACGCTATATCTGTAAGTGAACTTTAAAAACACTTTCAAAATAAGCTGAACCCTGATCCCATCTACCTTCTTACTAGTCAGTTATAACGTGCTTCCTGTATTGCTAACACGCGGTGGACTAATGACATGTCAAAGGATCACCCACGAATGTACTTTGATTGACAGTTATTATTGTGGTGTTACGAAGGTAATCTTTTATCGTTATGTTTAATGGTTAGACGATGAGCGATTGATGCTTCTAATGAGGACGTGAAAGCGTTAAATAGGTCACAGGATGATAGATAGTTTTAATGATATAATCAAGTGTTTTAAAATTTCGCACAATCTCATTGGCTGAGGTGCGTGGGTTATTACATTATGTGCGCACAATCAAAAAATTATTGTTCGCTGCTGTAAGAAAAAGAAGAGAGMGAATGAAGTGATTTTCCAATTGATATTTAAACAATAAAAAACACATTTTCGCGCGTTCCTGGAGAAATAAAAAACCACAAAGGATTTTGGGAAAACAAGAAAAAAGGCGTAACAATCTCGAGCCGGGGACATTGCATTATGGTTCCTCCAATAAACAATAACTTTTGACCAATCAGAGAGCGCGTACTATGAGTATTGGGGCTCTCATGATAGATTCTAGTCTCCTTCGAAGCCTTCGCTTTTGGTGACTTTAGATCGTGCATTCGCTCTTCGCTCCGACAATCTTTTTTAGCGAATTAGAGAGCTCTTTGATGATTTCATTGAGGACATGGAAAGAAAATAAATCATAGCCCAGGATTAGTAGTCACGGGAAATGAATAGTTTTGAATATATTATCTGGCAGTCCAATATCAGTTTCACTCTTCAGTGTCAAAAAGCACAACTACATATTTCCCACGACATTACTCAATAACAATTTAGTACTTCAAAACGTCTTGACCACAGGGCAAGCTGATCGTATAGGCTTGGACAAAACCGACTTTATATGCCTTCAATACACTTGAGTGCTACTCCCAGATTAATGAGCTATAAAGCCTATATTTCCTTTTTAGGGATAACTTTGAAATCGCGAATTGTCTCTGAAAGAATAAAAAAATTGAGGAACCAAGATGATGTTGTCTTTTCATTTGTACCATAGATTGTAGTTTGATCTATGGCAATTCTTTCCGTGGACAAGTCTAGAATTAAGACAACCATCTGAGTTTCAAGCGGACGTTTACAGTTTCTCGAGTATCTGAAATCTGAATGTTTATGTCAATATGAACCAAGAGGCGCTTGCTATCATTTTCGTTAGCTTTATACTGTTAGTGCGTGAAAGCTTTAACTTTGAGCTAATTGTATTATTACTCAAAAATAGTGCTTCATACGGTGCTAGAATTACAGCTTAAGATAGCATTTCTTAAAACCATAGTTAACTATGTTAAAACTTAATCATGAAATTTTGTCAAAACTTTCCCTGATTATTACTGGACTCTTTGAATGTATAAGAATGTTAGTACTTACAATAAATGTAATTGTTTGCTTTCAATGACTCCAAGCGAAGGATTCAGACTGCTGTGTATGGTATATAGTCATTTGTTCAAGATACCATAACACACTAACCAATGCGTCTACTTCGTTTTTGACTTGTCTGACTTACGCAACTTAGAGGACTACACCTTTATGGGCTACTAAGTGAGCAAGTTATTCGTCACTGCTATTGAGTCATTACTGAGTGCCAGACCAGGTTTTTTTTTCAATTGGAAAACGTCACAAGATATGCAAGATTGACTTTCTTATCGTGTTCATCTCAAATCCGTTGAGTAACTTGGCAGCATTTCACGCTTGAGGGGCCAATAAAGTACAAAACTGTAAACGTCATGCATGGGCTTCCTGTGTAACTTCAAAACATTTTGCCTCCTATCTCTGAATAAAGAATAGAAATAATGAATTTGCTGAATGTAATTTTAACAGCAATCAAATAAAAATATAGCTAGAATTTTCAACTGCGTGAAAAACGACGACGAGGAATCTTTCCCATCCCTCCCCTCCCATTGGATATATTTGCTGTAGCCCAGTCTACTTGCGAGCATTCTTGAAACACACCATCAAAATGGCTTCCAGGATCTTAGGTCGCTGCGGTGCACAACTTATGCAAGTTTGCTCTCGAAATTTGGCTTTAAAACACAACCAAAATGCTGTCCCTGATTACAATTTTACTCGCCGGATGTTGTCTCTCAATAGGTAGGATGTATAGAGTGATCTATTGTTTTGTGGGGAAGATTCTTGTATGCAAAGTTTCGTGTGTTGCTTCATGTTTCAGTGCAGTCTCAGTTTATTAATTGATTTGTTATTAATTGAAAATGACCGTCAGTCCAAACTGAATCTCTGTTTTCATCGTTAAAGATTGAGCAAATCATATCCGTAAACCTAACCAAAGCTAGTGAGCAAACCAAGAATTATTTCGTAATTTAGATCAWTTATTTTTATGTTGTGTTGTTTCTTGCTGCAGACTCTTCGTATCATGTTCCAAAATTCTTTCTTATTGTAGAATTTCAATATCCACGATTATCAATTTAAAAGTAKTTTGCCTTTGAATTATATTAAGATTCTTTTCTATAGTTTAAGAAGCTGCTTTTACTGTAGTTGATTTTACAGCAATATTATTGTTTTCAATATGCAAATTGTAGCGCGTGCCTTTATGTGAATTGCCCCATTTGTTTTAGCTATTTCCCATACTGTTGGCGACATCAAAAGATATTTTATATAACATTCGTTTGGTAGTGTGTTTGATATTTTGTCCAGTACAAAAAACAAAAAGTGTGTATATTTTTGTACATTAAAGTTTGCCATTAACTTGAAAAGACGTGTATCTGCTTGGAACACCAAGGAAGCAACCTGCTTGATGTTTGTCCAACAACTTGTTATAGAGAATTTGAGTTTTTTGACATGTGCTTCCTTTCCAATCAATAAAGATACTTAAATATGTCATCAGTAAACTTTAAAACTCAAAAAGGGTTAAACACCAGGAAGTTTATTTCCTTTTTTGTCCAGTTAATTACTGCAATTGTTGGAAAAGGGGAACTCAAGTTTGGTTAAAACCTCATTAGGTTGATCATTTTGTATCTTAATTTGAAAGTAGCATMCTTGTGTTATAGGTTCAACTTTACTATCTTTCTTTTCTGCACCGTTTATTTGCTATGTATAAAGGAAAGTGTGTTTGCTCCATGCTTTGCAACAACAAATAAGRGACTTTACCTTCATCCAGTGTGGTTGTTGAAAATTAGAATTTTCCTCCATTCACAACCATTTACTAACTCAGCAATCATGGATATAGTGTCATCAAAAACAGTGATAACTTAGTTTCATATTAATTTTAAYCTTTTTATATAGAAAGACAAACTAGACACTTATATATTAGCCAAACTCCTTGCAGACTGACAAAACTTATGCAAGCTGTATGCTGTTTCTTATGAACTACAGAAAAACTAAAAAGAAAACGACTTCAAAATATTACTTTGCTTGTTATTCTGCTTAATTATTATCAGACATCAGTAACAGACACATCTGAATCCCAGGTTTAATTTCCTATCATTTGTTCAAACATGACGTTTCCTCAGGGTCTCTTTTTATTGAGAGTTGTTTTTCATATTCATTCAAACCATTCAACCAGATGTTTGTTTAAAAAATTATCTTTAAATTAGGTAATTTCTAAAAAAATTGTGAGGTTGAGAAGACTGGGCCCTAGCTATGTTACTATATAAAGAACTGTCACGTGGATAAAATTTCAATCGCCGGCAATCTTCCTCACACGTTGTTGAGCACCTTACCATTTTTTCTTGTTTTCTTTTTAACGCAAAGTAAATATCTTGCATAATTGCCTTGACCTTAAACTAGAATTTAATCTTCTTTAACCTTTTCTGTACAGACCAGCGATGAGCAAAGCAGTTATTCAAAAACCTGCTCCAGCATTTTCAGGAACCGCAGTCAACAAGCATGGCGAGTTTATCGACATTAAGCTCTCAGACTACAAAGGTACGTGAATTTAGATTATCGTATTTTGCATTCAGTTTAGTTGTGATTTTCTGTATTTCTAATTTGAGGTTTTTTCTATTATTTCAACAGGAAAATATGTAGTTCTGTTCTTCTACCCTCTGGATTTGTAAGTTCATATATTTTACACTTTAAACATAAACTCAATTCAACCGTATTTGTTCAGCTGTAAAATCTGTTAGCATGTATTTAGGATCGGTTGTACTATTTGAAGTTGTGAAATTATTTCAACCATGGCCAATTATACTAATACGTAGGAAAAGCGTTCATAACTGCACGCGTTTTGACATCTTACTGGTGTAGTGAACCACTGTTATGTAATGAACACTTGTGACYGAACAAGTAWTACTAGTTGTTAGGGTATCGAATAGAAATAGAACGTTTGATCGTTCGATTTGCTTTGCTTTTTGTCTTAATTGTGTCGAAAACATTCTTCGCCATGTATTTTTCGGAAATATTGATAAAAATTTGTTCACGGCTGTCACGCGAAGCGAAGGCAATATCTCGGTGTTTATATTTAATATTTCACACTTCAAGCGGTTGAGCGATGTTGCGCAAAGTATACTGTCTGATTCTCTTGGAGAATTTTGTTATAGAAAAATAGGTTACTCACCCGTGAAAGGATAATTTTACAATTTATAATATGGACATTGTCTAGAAAAATATGCAAAGTCTGCATGAAATACAAAACCATTTCATGGACAAAGTGYGAACATATTGTTGCAACGGCCTCGTTTCTCTGGTGACAATTTWTCATTATAGAAAATTTCACTTATAAAATTCATTTAAATAAGTGACTGACTATTTTGCAATGTAAATTTTGGTCGTTGCTAAGCTAGGACCATGAYCTCCATCATGTATTATAATTTTTCATGCGCTGACTGTTGCTATGTCTAACACGGTTACTGAAGTCATTGTTTTAAATACATTTTGAGTAAAAATGATTGCATTGTTTTGGCCGTAGAAATTTGGCCCAAGGTGTGGCCAAGATACMCAAAAACGTTTTATTTTTGTGTTGTCATGTTCCTTGTTTATTGACTTACATGACATCTCATTTATTATTAATGAGGAATTAATTATTGTTTTATAAAAATGTGGGATGGAATTGTATATATTTAGTCTATTATCTTAAATTTTTGTAGACTAAACAGATAAACGATATCCATTGAATTTCCATGTTTTTTTCATTCATATGTCGATGTTTGTTTATTCCTATTTTTCTTGCATTTTATGAATGTATTTCATGAGTGTATTCTAAAAATTCTACTCTAATGAAAGACAWTTATTATGAAAATGTAGAATTCTAAGCAGCTGAGATGCTGCAAAAAAAGACAACAATATCTAAAAGCAAAAAAAACAAAAAGCATTTGAATTTATTCAGTMCCCTAGGTGCTAATAGCAGCAATTCTGATTGTGTATTTAAGCCTTGATTGACCTATTTTCTAGTTTTAATCCAAGTGGCAATTTTCTCAAGGTTGTGTAGGTCTTTCTTTTCCTAATGTTTTTTTTCTCAATGCTTCATTTCCTCTTATTCAAGAGAAAAGTTCCTGTTTGCAAGTTTTGTTTTGTTTTTCTTTTTCCTYCTAATTCAAATATTCTCAAAAACGCCCACAGATTAAGGATCCTAAAGACTCATTAGGTTTCCCAATTAGATTCAATATCGACAACGGTACTGACTTGCCATGATTGATGCTGCTAGTGGCTTGCAAATCAGCTGTCAAAAATGTGAAACTTTACTTTAAATTTATATTATTAATATAATTGATTTGAAAAAACATTGAAACTATATCAACAATATCTCTTTAGGTTCTACTTCAAATGATTAGTTGTCCTTATTTTGTAGGTTCTACACGCTTAAAAATGGTTTCMTGGMWTTAAATTTATCRTAGGCAATGTAGGGAATAATCATATTCCCAGATGGCGTTCATGAAAACACTTTTRAGCGACTATTTCAAAGTTCGTATATTTAATGAAGGCTCCCTYGACGTCRCATCTTTAGCATTTTCAATTTTCAAATGCCTTTAACTTTTTATTCTTCAAAACAATGATTATCATCATATTTGCCTTCTGTTAAAAATGATTTTCTAAAATGGTTCACATGCACTTTAATCACAGCTGTTGTTTTTGATGAAAACTATTGATAGTCAAAYAAGTGCCCCTTATCTCCTGAATCACTTGCCTGCTTTCATGATTAATGATTTTGAAGTTTTTGAATGATAATTTWAAAAAAAGATTAAATAGAATACAGGAAGTTACAGGTTGATCGTTATTCAAGTAGATGAATATTGAGCTTGTCTAGTTTTTGTGGTAAAGCACGTCTTTTAAGAGGCTGGCTTCTACATAATGTTATCATGCTGATACAGCAAGAAAGTGTTCTATATTCAGATTAAAATCTTGTTAAGCAACGCATTTGGAACTAAAAAATACTAAGAAGAAATAACATCAAGTGACCACCAAATTTCCTATAGTTTTAGTTCTTAAATTAACTTAATTAACTCTATTTCTTTTTAAATACTGTCTGATGAGTGCATAGCACGAAACTCGGAGTTACAGCAAAATCTTGCCTCTTTGATATCATATATCTATTTCTTTTTATAAATAAACATGACAATCTTCAACCTATTCCATCTGTAAAAAAATAGAAATATAGCTTAATTTATGTTTCAATACTGGTACATATATCAATCTTTATCTCATTGTATTTTCCTTTTTTGTTTTTGTTACAGCACATTTGTCTGCCCAACAGAGATCATTGCTTTCAGTGACCGGGTTAAGGAGTTCAAAGCTATCAATTGTGAAGTTATCGCTTGCTCTGTAGACTCTGAATATTCTCACTTAGCTTGGTATGTTTGTCTGTCCACCTCTCACTAAACATCAGTCTATCTACCATTGCTCCATTGTTCTTCCATCTAGTTTTTGCTTGATCATCTGTGCAATAATCTATTTGTTCACCCACCCTTATCCATCCGACATCCAATTCATTTGCACATCCGTCCATCTATTCAATCAATCAATTATCATTCAGTCAGTCAGTCATATCAATCAATCATCAATCAATCAATTATACTTACCAAGAATGACATTATCTCACTTAAAATTCACATTTCTATTTCTAGTCATTCTTTCACTTTTCATTCCTTCATATACCGGTACCGTGTATTTATATTCTTTTGTATTTTTGGTGTTTTCAGGACCAATGTCCCYCGAAAGAAGGGTGGAATAGGTCAAATTAATCTCCCTATCCTGTCTGATCTCACTAAGCAAATATCCAGGGATTATGGTGTTCTACTAGAAGATGCTGGTGTAGCTCTAAGGTAGAACATTGCAGTTTATACTAATACCAATACCTTTGCAGCTAAACCTTTCAATTGATGTTAAATTCATGATATGCCATAATCAGGTTCAGTAACCAAGAACAAAGCATTGAGCCGAGTTGTCAAGGTGCACTGAGCATRAAAGAAAGATTTGTGTTTAGTGTTCCCTGGCACCTCAGTCCAATGCTTTGTTTGTGGTCAATGAACCTTGGTAAAAGTCGTTTGTTGCTCAGCTTGTATGAATTCAAATGAAATGATTAAAGTGGATGGTCAGGTTTTTAGTTTTAATTGTGCCTCAGTTAGGACTACGAGGCTCAATCCACTGACATTTTGATTGCTGGGCAAGGGCTCTAATGTCAGACTTTAAAAAAACTAGTCGTTAAGATGCTATATTACGATTGCCCATGTTATGGGATGAACCATATTTCAGTTCAGTWTAAAAGTAATGTTGTTTGTTGTGTTATAGGGGTCTATTTATCATTGATGACAAAGGTATTCTCAGGCAGATCACAATGAATGACCTTCCTGTTGGACGCTCTGTCGATGAAACTCTTCGYTTGATCCAGGCTTTCCAATTTACAGACAAACATGGAGAAGGTAAGACTCTTCAGTGTTTTGTTGTCAGTATTTTGGGGGATTTGTTTCATTTTTCAGCAATTTTTTTGCCAGTTTGCATATCATAGGGTTTTTTTTTGTTTGTTTGTTTGTTTTATGTGAATGTTTGGTAGACAGACTTTTTTGTTTTGTTTTTGTTATATTTAAATTGTTCTCTGCTTTTTCCTTTTTTTGAAGATTTAACCCTCACTCTTTGTGTTTATTACTTTGTTTTTGTAGAGTACAAACACTAAAACTGTGATACATAAATACCACTAAATACTGCTAAATTATGCTAATGCTATTGTTTTCTATTGTTTAATTAACATTTAATGTTTGTACTCTATTAAAGGAAGTGTTACCTCTTTCATGTTTGTCAGTTTATCATGTGTTATCTCTTGGTGTTGGTCATAACTTGTTTGACTTATTTCTTATTTTACCTGCTATTTTACCTTATTTATGTTGTTGATTATCTCTTTATAGTCTGTCCTGCTGGTTGGCGTCCTGGCTCAGAAACAGTAAGTTTGATATATTTCTGATATATGRCTTCTGTAAATCCTCCAGTTTTTTTAACTTTTATTGTTTGTTTTTCAGATTGTACCAGAACCAGGCAAAAGTGAYAAATACTTTAGCAAACAATCTTGAAATGTTTATAAATACAGTGAAAGAAATCTAACAAAATAACATACAYCACATTTTTCAGTTCTTCTTTTAGTAATATTTTATAATGTATTTCTATTTATGCAATGTAGGTAGGAAGTACAGGTCTGTTTGRAATTAAAAGATTATGCATTGCTATAAGGCCTTGTTTTTACTAATGTTRGAGTTCCTGTCTTCCTCATAACCAAGGAAGACTGTGTCAGCCAAGAAACCACAGGAATCCCACAGAAGGAGGCTATTTTCTTTCATTAGAGAGTTTAATCAGCACGTTTACGGCAAATGGCTAACCAATGACATAAGAATTTTGTAACCGACCTTATGCTTTTAGTAGTCATTTGAAAGAGCGACTTTTTTTCTCGTTTATGACAACCTCAAAATAACTCACTCTTGCGTTGAAACTAACGATAAAAGCTATCTATTACTTTTCATCTCACTTATTGTGAATGCACCAGGTAGTCTCCTTGCAGCCGTTCTTAGTTGCGGGCTCCCTGTCCCCTGCCACTAAGAGCAGCTTGGAGGAGACTAGGCACCAGGGGATGATGGTGAGATAATGCCAACAAATATACAGACAAAATTGTTCAATCAACAGCCATCATTTCAAATGAGTGACCAAAGATTACTCCTAGGTTTTTAAGGGTATGCGCTATACTAAGGTCAGGGGCGGGCAAAGAGGGAAAACATTTGATCATGATTGGTTTATTTCTAGGTGTTTAAAAAATTTAGTTATTTCTTTAAAATGTTCTGGACAATTCTGAACAACAGTCCAGAACCCATACATTGCTCTGGTCCTAAAGCACTTTTAAACACCAACACTCCTGAGAAAGTGAAACTTAATAAATAAGCAAAAGTTCTACTTCAAATATAAGGATTTTATTCTATATCCTGAGAAAATWATAATAAAATAAACTCAGTTTCTGTAACTATGGTGTTTTATGTATAACTGCTGAATATCTAATTGTAAATCAGCAGTTTCCTTTGCCAAATTTTCACGAATTTTCTTTCTTAGTTCKATCAGTGCTTGACCAGGAGGRACATTAGGAGGTAACTCCATTGGATCTGAAGTGTCGAGGACTGCGGTTGGTTGCGGCCGCTCGTATTTCTCAGTTTTAACCCTTGCTGAYGTTGTAGACAGAGATCTTTGAATGGATTCCTGTTTGTGCTTGACAGTACGTTCAGTTGGAGCCGACTTGCAACCAAATGTTACTCGAATATCATGAATTTTTTCACTGGGTTCAGGGGTCTCYTTTTTTGGTTCAACTAATTCATTCTCACTCACAACTTCGTTATCATTGGAAGTTGGTACCAAGATTGGCCTGAGATGTTTCACATGTGAAGACTTATCCATTTGTTCAAAGATATTGATGTCATGTGGTGTTCTAGGGCTGCAGTGAGGTGCCGTGTAGGGCCTCTTTGACTTTTTTGTTTTAAATTCCTGCTTTGTTTCTAGATTTGATCTAGATCTTGATGAGCTTGGACGCTTGGTGTTTTGATTTGCAACAGCATTTCCTGTTTCCATGTTAAAGTCATCTCCCTTRTGAGCGGAATTTATATCTAAAACTGCTGCTCCTTCAAGGTCGTCCTTAAAACTAACTCTCTTGTATATTTTGTTTTTTTCCTCTTCTAAAATTCCACTGTCCTTTTCTTCATRGTGGTTGACGATCTCCACTCCATCCTTTGTGCCCTGGTCATCCTCTAAAGTTTTCACATAAGGCACCTTCCTTTCRGACTCTTGTGAAGAAGTTCGGTAAATTTTCTCTATGTTTTTGATAGTGTTGGTCATGTCCATCATGTCAGAATCATGTGACTTCGTTCTTTTGATTGGATTGCTGCCATCTTTATGAACGTCGTTTGAACCTTCCTCAATTTGAACAGAAGTTACACATTTGAGTCCACARGTAAGGTTTCTTCGATCACTGACTAGTTTTTTGTCCATGTACAAACRGTAAGAAGCAGACGCTTTATTGGAAATGTTTGTTGTATTTGAAAGCCTTTCATGATTTGCYTCTGGATGGAAAATAACAGGATGGGTTTCACAAAGTCCCTAGAGAAACAGAAAATATATTCTCTTCAATTTATTAATGACAGTTTTATATAATATTTTAAATAATATTTACCTCATCTTTAGTCTTTGTAGATTGGGATCCTTTTGGTTCAATGATCTGTGTCTAAAAGCCAAAAAACATGAGTGAAACTGAGGTAACCCAGTGATCTGATATTGTAGAAAGCTATTAGCCATTTAATAAGGAAACTATGATTAGTTTTATCTGGCAATCAAATAATTCTGCAGAAACTATGATTTTTTWAAAACTTACATTTTTCCAGTTAAGTTGCTCCTCCCATGATAAAGGTGCAGACCTTATACTCCCATCTTGAATACCATCACTTTCTTGATTTCCAGGTTTCATTCCAGCATCCTCATTCCGTACATYRCCATTCCTACCAATACGAACTTCAAGACGATGGCGTAACAGCTTAGGAACTGCCTTTGATTCCTTAGCGTCTACTTTATAACATAAAGCTTTCTCTTTCAGTTTATCACACTCAAATGAATCAATGACGCCTTGATCGACTCCATCTTTAAAATTAAACCATTTTCCAGTTTTGTGTGTTGGGGCACTAGGATTGAACTTTCCAAATATMGATGGTGTAAAATTTCTTATATCTTCTGTATTGTGGACTTGTTCTGAAGTTGTAGCCTCTGAAGAAGTGCGGACAGGCTTTTTATAAGAAGATGATTTGGACTTYCTRGGATCTTGATGAWGGTTTTTTGAAGTTTYGATATCAGTATTAGACTTKGYTCCACAGGACTTTGTTCTTTTTAGACCTTCGAAGAAAGCAATTAAAATTAAAACATTTTGTATCTATATTTCCTTGCTTTTTGAACTTATATTTAATTCTGGGCATTTTGGACATTAGATTCTGTCACGTTCATTTTCTCTCTCCAATGATCGTAATGATGATGATGAATATTTTGGAAAATAATATAGTAGAAACATCGGCAGATTTTTGTAACAGGCAATACAACAAGAAATGTTTTTAATAGCTWGGACAATTGAAAGAATCCCCCCCCCGACCTCTCTTCCCTCCCCCCCTGCCCCTATGTCCAAGTTGACACTCACTACTACTGTTCTTTGTCGACGTCGTTGCTGCTGTTGAAATACTCGACGATCGATTGCTACAGTTGCTTTTCCTACAAAGTTTTAATGATATTTAGTTGCATTGTAAAGAAGAGGGGATAATAAAGAAATACAATAAACAAATCAACTAAACAAAATGTCGAGCAATTAAATTGTCACCTCGGTGTACATTTTCCCTGTCGGAAGTCAGCTGGGGACGCATTCCTTTCTGCTCGGGATTTCGAGTCTCTAACTTTGTTCGCTATATCTTGTTTCAAACGATTCTATGAGAATAAAAAACGCTTGTAATCTATACATTCCAATACATAAGTATTAATTCAAATCCATTTAGGAAGGTGAAAGTTTGTTTTTTTTTTTCTTTTTGTACACAAACAAAGCCAAACAAAGAAGTTGCGGATGTCTGAAGTAGAATTAAGTAATTYAAAAATTACTAACCTTTGAATACTTGTAAAAGATCTTGTCAGAGATGACATCCAGCTCATTTAAAGCGTTTATGCATCGAGAAGCCATTTCATAGTCACCTCAAGTTGAAATTTATGAAAAACATCTGCCATTGTTGGCCTTCCTCGACCGGCTCCTTGCAAACATCCAGTCACAAATGTAAACAAAGAACGTAGATTTTTGACTACGTGGAATACTTAACGCCGATATCAATACCATATGATTCAAGATATGCTATTAGATATCAACAATTAACCCACAAAGTCTGGAAGTCACTAGTTTTCGAAATTCAAAGCTGACATTTCTCTTTTGTTTTGATCACAGTTCCTTAGCGACATCACATCTGTACGTTCGATTGGCTTACCTGTCAATTATCCCCAAATAAGGCAGCGCGTGTCCTTGGATTKAATTTCATACTCGGATCTGATTGGTTAGAAATGATGTCATACCTAAGATTGTTCTCCCGCCAAACACGTTTCAAAATTCCTTCGAGAAATATCAGAGTTCAATGATTCATGGCGACCTGTTTGTAAAATAGAAATATTTGTAAAGCATACAATGGCTGCACAGAGCCCTACAGATAATACGCTTCCTAACTGGAAGCGAGGTAGCAAGCCACAGAGTGAACCTTCAAAAGCTGAGCAAGATAAAAAGTCGRCTCAATTTAAAGTTTCAGAGACAGCGAAGTGAGTTTGAAGATCTCGGGTCATCCATGTTGTTTTATTTTCCATCTCTTTTATTTCACACAGCCAAAACAGCTGGCATTTTATGGATCGTTGACTTGTACATTTTTCTTGTTTCTGTAGGCCTATTCTCGAAGAACAAGCTTTATTAAAAGAAAAACTCAAATCGCAGTTAACATGGAAAAAGGATAAAGATAACACTTCTCTTCGGCGAAAAGCTCAGCCTATGGTATGGAGTACAAGTCATTTTGCTCGCTATCTTCAAGCCATCTGTTTTCCTAACTTGATGTTTATGTACAGATGTAGCAAATATGTATCATAATCTTTTTCCTAAACACGATTTTCTCGCGTTAAATCGAAGTTGAACAGCGTCTTGCAAGATCACTTGAGCGGTCGTTTACATAATTCTGTCATGTGCTCGTATTTATAGCCAGATCTATTTTCAACACAGATCAAGGGTACTACCAAAATAGTTCATAGAGTTCGGTACCTTCAAATCCTATCCCCATGTTCTCAATTAGGTCTTTTATAGAACATTTTTAATACTAAATTTCAAATAATTTCGCGTGACGGTCCATTCCTTTATTATGATGAAAATCGTTGTATCGGTAAATTATTCAAAAACCATAAAAAAGACATTAACAATACGATTGCTGTTTTTTGTCTGTCAGAGATTTCGATATCTTTGGCTCTCTTTATATCAAATTAATACGAATTAGATAATATTGGCGTAATTTGTGAGCAACGAGAGAGCTGTTTTACGCCTGTTTAAGGTATATTTATGAACCAGAGGAACACGAGCTCTTCGGCCATAACCGCATAATTTCGCCCATCTCGTGTGATTTCCACGCAATATAGATTATTGATATGATTATTTCTTTGTTTCCGAGCTTTTTGATTGATATGTTTTGAATTTCAGAACGTTTATGAACACGGAAACTTAAATTCTCTTATTACTCAATACCTAGTCATATATTACGCTTTATGCATTAGCTTACTTTGCTATTACCTCACCTACTCCACGTGTTGAATTAACTTACTCTTCAGAATATCACTCAAAGCAACAATAGAAAAAAAACAGTATTAAAGATAATAATGTTATTCCTTATATTTCATTTTATTTGTTTTCGTTTCAATTAGTGTCATGTTGATTGGGGCGTGGTCTTTATTTACAGGGGGGTATAACAAATCAAATATAACCACCCATACCCCCTGATGGTTCGTTAAACAGAAAGTTAACTCTACCCTCCACCTTGCTAAAAKATTTTCCTGATAAACCCTGTTATTTCTGTTTGAAGGTAGCAAGACCACCCTCACCAGGTGCCACTCAAAAGCAGGCAATTCCTCAGCAGCCACACCAGTCTTCTTCCTCATCAGTAAGTTTTCACAGGCGCCATTGTTATGTGTTACTTGAAACTCACACACCAAGTCTTTAAGCATTATCTTTTAGTCTTTATGGTGGTATCTTTTGTGGTGATAACAAAGAATAGCCATCACCCCATAATYGRTTTTGTGGCTGGTTTAATATTTTGATGGTGGTTTTTCACTAGTAAACAAACATAATTGGTTTTGATGTTTCTTACCAAATGTTCATCCGAGTAATACACCTGTTTTAAAAAAACACTGTAATTTTGAATATTATATTAAAAGTAATTTTGTAAAATTATGAACTATCCAGCGAGTACACTAATGTTACATATTAGGCCCATAGTTTGTAGAAAATTTATATCTTTAGGCAGTCACCCTCTATTAGACAACCACATTAAAAAGTCTCATTTCTCACTGTTCATCAGTCTAACTCTAGTAAACATCCTCTTCTTCAAGCCCTGTACATAATCTCTTCAAAGAGGCATTAATGAGTACACTTACTTTGGATCTAACTTCCATTATTGCATTCTTTGCCAAATGCTTATAACAATTAAGATAATTTGCTGTGGCTAATGTTAACTTTTAATCATAATTTCAGTCATCTAAGCCACCGTCACCACCACCCACAAGAAGACGCACCCATTCACCCTCRAGCTCATTCAATGCTGGCACTTCACGTAGCTCTTCYCCATTGGCTGAAATTTCTCCTGAATTTAAGAGAAATATAGARAAAGCTACCCGTGCAAGGTTGTACCTYCTTCAGCAAGTAGGACCCAATTCATTCATGATTGGAGGAGATTCCCCTAATCACAAATTCAAAGTCATAATAGGACCACAGGTAACGTCATATAATAACAGCAGTGAATATCAAGGATGGGGGATTCCCTGATAAATTATTATCAATATTGATGAGGCAATGTTTACATCAGGCTTTTCTAAGGAAACCATGAGAGTTAAATAAGTTGTTACACAAATGGGGGGATTCCCTGTTTATTATTCTTTTAATATTAATAAGTTTTCCTTTAATAGACATGTATTATTTGAAATTTGATAAATTTCCTTTACAAATTTTATTGTAACTCTGAGGAATTGTTTATTTGACTATATGGTGGGGATTCCTTCATAAATAA